ACGAGTGGAACGCTCAAAACCCTCACTGGACCCTCACAGCTGTCACTCCAATCCACTCCGCTCCACTCCAATGCCACAACGCCCTACAAAATCTGTAGCAGTGGGTGAATCTGTGCAACGTTTATGGCTCTTGCTTCAGCTTGAGCTGGGGCATGTCTGCAACAGCAGTTCCGCACTAAGGCTCTAACCTCTAAGGGCATAGCCCTGAAGACCACACTGCAGGAAAAGCATTCATCTTAGGTGCTCCGTGGAAAAATGATGTCAATGTGAATTCCTACAGGTGCCATGGCCGCCTCAAACGAGCCCCTGCCTACAATCCCTGAACTCCGGAACAATAGACCTCAGCAAAACCTTCAAAATCATACAAGACCTCCCTAATTAGGAGCTCCCAAAGCCTTAGACATCGAAACCGCAAAAAGAGGCCTCTCCGAGTCGAGCATCGTTGCTCAAGCGGTACAGGTCACAGCCTGTGGATCGAAAATGCTTGTTCGGAAGTGGCAGGAGCTCGCCCCTCTCAGCACGCGACGCAAGCGTATGGACTCCTGCAAGATTCGCATCAACTGTGCAAACAAAACCACCATGCAACCGATAAGCCGTGCCTGATATTGCAAGAACCACGCATCGACGCCTTCGTCCTCAACCTTCCCCAAAACTGCAGCGCACCCCCTGCGCAGAAAGCAGCAGACAATTGTCCGTGGCCTTGCGGAGCCGGGCGGCGTTGGCCCAGGCATTGAAAAAGATCTTCAGCCGGTATGCCTGTGCACAGAATCGAAGCTCATGCGCATGCATGCAAGCAAAAGTGGAACGGCATTTTCATACCTTTACTTCCTCGTCATTCACGATGCTGACGGCTTCGGCAAACCTGCACTGGTGATGCATGCACGCCTGCTGGAACGCGGCAACCAGGACCAAGCCTCTGCGAATTGGCAGCTTTGAATGCCTGCGGACTTCTGCAACAACTACACGGAAGAAACCTAGAATCGAAAGGGCAAAAAAACATACCTTTACCTCAATGCTTCGCAGCACCGTCCTCAACACGGAATGCTTTTCAAGCACGAACATGAACAACAGCTTTTCCTGAAGACGACTCCTTTGAGCCAAATTGGCGAAGGACTTGGCCTTGTGGTCGGCCTCCAACACGGCCTAGCAAAACCACCAACCCGCAAACTGGAAACATGACTGAGGCTTCCCGCCTTGCCTTATGGTTCTTCAAGGCTTTCGCGTTGGCCATGATTCTGCCTACGCAAAGGTGCCTGCCTAACTCAGCCTGCTGTTTCACGCTCGAGCACTCGCTTGATCACACACGAC